AAAACATCCACGAAACAAAGAAAGGTCTGTCACAGCCAAAAAATACACTCCAGACACGCCGCTGGCACTAGAGGCACAGCATGGCCGCCTAGTAACGGCCCCGACCACTGCCGCTCGACCTGACTGGAAAAACCGTAGCAGGAAGCTAGCGAAGTCGTAGTATATATCGTCACAAACAGAACTGTATATATATATGTACGTCGCTCGCCCACGACGGACGACAACGAACAAGTGTTTGGGAGCGAGCCAATGATAACGCCGTTGTAACTGGTAACCATTCAAAGCAAAGATGCTTCAAAAAGAAAACGAAACCAAAAAAAAAGAAAGGAGGGGGAATGTAGCTCAGCTGCGATGCCCATTTTGGCCGCTTTAACATTTGTTGGTACGTCAACGCAAGTCAATGCCGCTCAAAGCTCTTCGTAATTTAATGGCCGTCTGATCGGCATGCCAATCAGTCGCACAACTTGCACCATCCCGACCGTATCACAGCCAACCTTTTTCCCTCACGCTCTCGCCTCTCTCTCTCTCTCTCTCTCTCTCTCTCTCTCTCTCTCTCTCTCTCTCTCTCTCTCTCTCTCTCTGTGTGTGTGTGTGTGTGTGTGTGTGTGTGTGTGTGTGCAAATACAAAATCCGAAAAAAGAGGGGGATTGTCACATACTGTTTCGTCGGGCTTTCATCGACTCGTAAGGAGGTAGGACCTCTGTGTATGTGCGTGTGTTTGTTTCTCTGCATCCGCTCTCTCTCTCTCTCTCTCTCTCTCTCTCTCTCTCTCTCTCTCTCTCTCTCTCTCTCTCTCTCTCTCTCTCTCTCTCTCTCTACTGTGTGCGGGGGTGGGGTTGGGGGTTGGGCGGGTGTAACGGTTTAAATTCTCCTTCCTCTTCCCCTCGTGAAGTGCGCGGATGTTAAATGTTAATGTTTTGAGAGACAATGAGAGTGACTGGGAGATGGTGGGTAGAACGAACTTGGTGGTAGTCATACCTGCGCAAGCGCAATGGCGATGGAGTTGCAAATGGAAGAGCCGGAGAGTTCGAACGCTTGACGCGTGTCTTCGGAGTCGCCGCATGAAGATGCGCAGCACAGACGAGAGAGACAGAGAGCCACGCTCAATTCCAGTCCGCTGGAGCAAGCTGCGTCCCATCGGTCTCAGACAATGTGAAGACAGAAGCGTGGCCCGCTAAGCTGGGCGGTCGCTGAGGGGAGGAGCGGGAGGGAGCGGGAGGGAGCGGGAGGCTGCGGGTGGGCCATCCGACCTGTGGTGGGGAGCTATCTGGGGTCCTCCTGTTGGTACCACGGGTGCCAAGTCCCACTAGCAGCGTTGAGTTTCCTTAACGCCCGAATCTGAACGTCTTTGAGGGCATGTGCGGTTGAGAAAACTCAAAGTTCTGCACCTCTCCACAATAACGTCCAGATTCCGGCGTTGAGCAAACTGAACGCTCCTACCGTCTTCCCCCGAACACAACGCACCCTCATTCTGACTGTATCTGGCCAGAAACATACCTTGTATACTTTCCTTTTCAGGGTGCGTTATGTTCGGGGCAAGACGGTAGTGAGACTTGGTCCCCGGAGTTGCCATTCACAAGCTGGAGAAAAAGGGGAGAAAGGCTCTCCTAGCAGACCCACCCTCGAAGGGGTCTAGGGCTGCAAGGGTAAACCACCTCCTATCATTCTTTTCAAACTCTGTACAATGCTTGCCGGTGATAATTAGCCGGACTGCTGCCCCCCAGAATAGATGGGGCTTGGATTCTTTGAAAAAAAACAACAAAAAAAAGAACTCGCAATGCTCCCTGACCACGGCTATTAGGGAGGGGACAACATATTCCGCAATATGCAATCCCTTTATGGAGAGGTAAGGATGCTTGCAGTGGCCCCCTTTATAGCCCTTCTTGCAGTGGTCCCCTGTATAACCTTTTTTCTTGCAAAAGTAACCTGTATAACCTTTGCAGTAGTGGTACGCACAGAGTCAAAGGTGGATTTGAGAGAAGATGCATGCAGGGGTCCCCTTTATAGCCTTTCTAGCAGGGGATGCATGCAGAGGTCCCCTGTATAAACTTTTTTTTTTTTTTTTCATACGTAAAAGGCGAGGCTGTTGTAGAGCCCGGATTCTAGACATACAATGTGAAAGCAACTTGTGTAACCTTTGAGGCAAAGTAGCCGGCATTCGGGGGCCAAGTCCCACAAGCAGTGTTGAGCTACCTCAACGCCTGAATCTGGACGTGTTGTGAACTTTGTGGAGACGTGCAGTTCAGGAAACTCAACACCATTTCTGCACATCTCCGCAAAAGCATCCACATTCAGGCGTTGAGGTAGCTCAACGGTGCTAGTGGGACTTGGCCCCGGGTCCGGTCCAACTTCCGATCCCGAACTGCCGAACTTTCAGCCCCCCTTGGATACACATTCGGCTGAACCCGACGCCAAAAAAAAAAAAAAAACAGACCTCAAACAAATCTAAAAACAAAACACTAGGATTAGTGCTCGAACAAGCGTGAATACGAGGCAGATTGGTGAGACGTCAGCAGTAAAGAAAGGCAGCATAAAATCCCATAATTTTATTTATTTATTTATTTATTTTTCCCCAAAAATAAACGTGAAGCGCTTCTTTTGAAAAAGGAGAAGAGGGTACTGAACCCCAGAGCTCTCTTCTTATCACAACATCTTAGGCTTGGATCCCACTGGCTGGAAACTTCTTTCCGAGGAAGTGTCTTTCAGACCCCACAGGTGTTGGAAACCGTCATGGAAAGTCAGCCTATAAAGGAATTTCGGACCCCACTGCGTTTGGAAAGAGGTCGTGGAAAAGATGACGGGGCGTTTCTACTCGGCTCGCGGCCTGGAAATTTGTGGCAACAAGTTTCCAAACAGTTTCCAAGAACGGCTCCAGATGAGTAGGGGGGGTGCCACGGAAACGAGTTTCCAGAAAATGACTGGACGGCGCGAACCAAGGACCGTAGCCATGGACCGTTTTCTGGACCAGTGCTTCCGCGCGGAAACGGTTTTCATTTTCTTGCGTCGCACGGTTCCCACCGGGGCCCGGGGGGGTCTGGGCCCTCCATGCGACCCTCGGACTGCGAACGGCAAGACGCAGTATTTCAAATTTGAATTTTTTTGGCGGGCTCGGGACGTAGGCCAGCCATGCAGTCGCTTCGTGCCCACCGACTTCAGTGGCAGAAGCATCGGCAGTGACACCCTCACGTCGTCGTCGTCGACACGTCCATTAAACCCTCCGTCGTTTCTCACGGGCGTTATGCCATCGCTCATCCCCTTCGCGCGTGCAGGTTCCCTGGCATGCCAACGGGGAAGCCATCTCTGGTGTCGTCGGCAGGCGTTCTCCGGTCGGGGCTTCCATTTCGAAGCCGTAGGCGTTGAGCCGAGCAATGTCTGCAAAACGCACAACCCGGCCACGGCGCTCTCGCTATCTGCCCGCGCGCACACGTGTCGTCCAATGCTGACCTCCCGTGTCGTCACCATTGCATATGCCTTGCTCCGTCGTGTGCCTCCCTTGCCATCCTCCCTTCTTCGTCTGCCTCGGCAGGGAGGTCGTTTGTCCTCGCTGGAGAGCAACACCAGCTCATGTGGCCACGGGTGGGCTGCACGGGACGATGTCGTCATAAGTCCTCATCCAAACACTCGCCACGTTGTCAGGCGGCCGCAAGCAGTGCGCCGCCTGAAATCTACGGTTTTGGGACTTAGGCGCGAACACGAGTCTGAGTTTTGACAGTACTCTGGTTAGACCATGCAGCCGAGATTAGGGGGCCTTGGGGCGCCCTTGATTTTGGGCGCGCTGGACCTTACGGGTAACCCTAAAAAATGGCAAGATGGGTGGTCGCACTCGGCACATCAACGGATCGTCATTTTTGGCCGTTCGGAAGGTTAGACCCGAATTGGCCTGCCGCGAGGGGGCATCGCGGGGACTAACCCCGCTGCGACGTTCTTTGCAGCGTATGATCGGGGTCAAAATAGCGCCTCAAATTTTTGTCATTTTTGGTATCTAAATCAAAGATGGGAAAAGAGAATGAGATCAGTAGGAGGGAAKARAGAAACRTAATATTCCTTAATTTCCTTGTTTTTCGCAGYATTTGAGTTTGGAGAAAATACTCCGTTATTTTTTATGTTTTCCGGCAATGGAATTGAAAACAAAGGGAAAGATTAAAAATGGTAAAGGAGGAAAGGAACAAAGAATTTCAACAATTTAATAAAGACTTCCTCGGAATTTATTTTTGGTAAGTTTACGATTATTTTACTATTTCGGGTAATAGAGTTAAAAAAAAGGGGGGGATRATTAAAAATGATGGAACGAACAAGAACCGATGATTATTCGATGGTTGGCCTGATTTYGCTTGGATTTCCCACCGCCGGCTYTGAACCCCGATTAATCAATCTTYTCTGGATCCCAACTTTTTTTCGCCAAATCCCTGATGATCAAGGTTTTTYGTGCCACTTTCCCGATCCACCTATTTACTAACTTCAYTGTGACAGTCCGAGGACGATCGCATGGACARCATAGGGTGGTGTTACCATGGGTCGACTATGGTGTTTGGTTCAGTACGGATACGAGGGTTGTTACGGAGTGGGTTCGTACTATGGTGTCTGGYCGGTGGCAGTTGTTTCACAACGGTGACTTATTTTCAGGTTTGGGACAGGTACGGTGATTTACTCTCAGRACCGGGGCTACTACGACAGTTATTCCAGGTTAGAGACGTTGGCGGCAGTTTATCCCAGGTTCGGCGTTATCACGGATATTTAACCCAGGTTCGGCACCKTCACTGCGGCCATTTATTCCACATTCGGTGCCACTATGGCGCTTTATTTCAGCTTTGGGACCACGGTATTGTGCGGCATTTGACATGTTCTCAGATTCAGTGTTGGCTCGGTATTGGTTGTCACGTGTTCGGCGTTGGTTTAACATCGCCGAGGTACATGCCGCAAATCTTTTTCGGGTTCGGTATTGACACGGCATTGGCTCGGCGCCGAAGTGGTACACGCGTCTGCTTTTTTCTTTCAGGCTCGGGGATGGTTGTTTCAAGTCCGGAATAGGTTCGGTACTACCCTGGCTTTTCAGTTTTCTACGGTATCCGGCATCGGTATGATACACATCACTACATCACTTTCAGGTTCGGTGTTGGCAGCTCAAAATTGTCAAGTGGCTATTTCTAGTTCGGCCCGACACTCTGATCCGGGACAGATACGGAACAAGCATGGTAACTGGGTATTGGGAGCAACAGCTGGACAGCGGTTCGGCTTTTGTGTTGGTAACTGGTACTATACAATTGCTTTTCAGTACCGTGGTTGGCTTTGGAGCGTAAAAGAGGCAAGTTTGGTACGGGTACCTGCCATACGGAAGTATCTGGCTTTCATTTTACAGCAGGTTTCGGTTGCAGGTCCCGCTGAGACTATATATGGGTTCCACTGTACCAGTGCTGGGACTGACCCTGCTTTTACCTTCAGCCTACGAAGGCCTGCGGATTGGACGAGGAGGAGGAGAAACCACGTTCAGCTGTGCGGGAAAACCATAACGGGAAAGGGGACTAGAGAGCAGGGGGGGGTATGCACGGTGTACCCAGCCCACGTGACAGTACGGATGCGGGGGGAGTCAATGCAACAGAGGGAAGCGTGCACGGTCGGCGAAGKGCTGGRGCAGAGGGAGGAGYGCAAGGTGTCCCCGCGGAGTAAGAAYGGGAGAGACGCGTTTGCAAGCAAGACTGAGGCGTCCGTGTTCGGGCGGTCACGGCGTGTGAGTAATGGCAGGGGGAGACAGACGGTGTGTGCGAGGCGTTCCYAGCTACTACCTTARATAAACTGGTCAGACACCGGGARAGAGAGTGAGGCTGAGCAAAGGGAGAGAGAGACTGTGCGGGGGAGGAGAGTGTGCAATGCAAGAGGAAGTGAGTACGAGAAGGCATGAGCGAGAGAGCGGAGGAGCGCAGTGGACGGCTTGCCAGGTGTWCACCGCCCACTTTGCARCCCGGTTCGGAACAGGCAGAGGCGAGCGCAATGAGCTCAGTTGACTTACGTGCATGCGCAGGGAGCAATGGYGTAGGGGGGACGGAGAGAAAGTAAGTRGGGGAGCCACGTGTGCTCAGCCGCCAGCTTGCTCTTTTATACAGCCCGCTTGGGCGAACGACAAGAGAGACGAATGCAGACA